CCTCGTGTCGGGGTAAACCCCGACGCAGAAATTTCCAGCTGAACATACTAATGCGAGTTCAGCTATAAACTTGAATTCCTCCCATTTCCACCCCATAGCACATCCTCTCGCTGCTCCCATGCTGCCAGCAGCACCAGCTAAAAGCAGACTGCACCGTACCGTGAGCCTTGGCCCACTGCAGGTTCCGTGCCAGGGACTCTGCCGAGGACGCGGTTTGCCGAACGGGGTCGGTCAGTGCCCGTTTCTCCGACAGGCTGCTGCGGATCTCCAGGGCTTGCCTGCCTTTGGTCAGGGGACACCTGCCCATATCTGAAAAGAAGACGCACGTAGGTGCCTTCAAAATCAATGCTGCTGCAATTCCAGCTGAATCCAGCAGCTCTGCAGAGAAGGATCTCAGGGACCCGGTGGCCACCAAGCTGACCACGAGCCAGCACTGCACTCTTGTGGCAAAGGCAGCCAGCAGGAGCTGCCTGCAGGCCACAGCCTTTTCCACAGAGGCTATTTACGTGGAACACTTGTAATGGCAACGCTGCTCTGGCACGTTTTCAAGTGTCTTCACTGCACCAGTATCTGGGAATACTGACAACAGTGCTTGTCTCGCTGCTGACAACTCAACCTTTCTCTCCACTCTTGAGCAGAAGACAGACCGGGCAAAGCTCTGCGACCCGCAGCTGCCCCAGGCCACTGAGCCCACAGCAGACCTGGGCTGATGAGGTCCATCACCTCCTGGGAGCAGTCCCACATGGACAGCTCTTGGCTAATGGCCTGTCTGTTCCTCTGCACTTGGAGCAGACGTTTGCACAGAGGTAGTTTTCCCCCATACATTTCCCCAGGACATTTTCCCTTGGCAGTTTTCACTTTAGCAGTTCTCCCATCAACTACAAAACATAATTCCTGGGCGAGGCATTACAGCAGTGGATTGTCCTCTATAGTGCACTCACACCCTTCCACAGAGAGCGAACCATTATCATCACCATGGTACTCTGAGGCAGGTAGGACTCTGTTAATTACTTAAATGAACATGCAAATGACTGGACTGCCGCATGCAGTTGGCAGCACAGCACAGAAGAGCATTTTTTGCAGATGGACAAATCAAAGCTCCATTCAGAAAGATACTCAGAATAAAGAAGGTTCTCTAAAAAGGAAAGTACAAAACTGATCACTATTAAGGACGCTCAGATCCCTTTCTAACATCATGAACTTTGTTAATTCGCTGCCCAGCAGCACCTGCTGCTTGATAAGAGCTGCTATTTGAACAAAACGCAACAGGTAAGAGCTTTAAGTAGTGTAACACATTCCCCCTGAGAGGAAGGACATGGAAGCAAAGTTGTTTTCAGTAATGCAGGCTGAGGGAGACTGTTAGTGTAGGAAGCCAGCGTTCACCTTCTGCAACCTCATCAAGCAGCACAGTGATCTTCTTGTCCTCTAACAAACGGTCCTTCAGGAACTTCAGGAAGATTCCGTTGGCCAGTCCCGACTGCTGAATTTCAAAAGCTTCTGCTCCTTGGCACCTGGGAGATCACCAGCATCAGACAAGGCAAACACACTGACACATCTGCATGATCAAGAGAGACCCTACAATCTGACACCCGGGTTGCGTCCAAGGCCAACCTGCTCCTTGCGTTCTCTTGCAAGCAGCTCGTGCAAGGTTGCACTTACAGTCCTGTCACAGACCAGAGCTGTTTATCAAACCGCTTACACGAGGAGCTTAAATTTATCGTAAAAGACGATATTAAAGCTCTCAGTGGTCACTTCTGTGGCACAGAAGAGCAAAAGGTTCCTTACGTTGCATATCCAAAAACAATGTTGGCTGTAACCTTCAGAGCATCTAAGATAAGAATTGTGTCATCGTATTCATTTCTGTAAGAAATGGAAAAACAAGAAAGTAAAATAACAACTTGAGAACTAATAATGGTAACAAATTCAAAACACAAAAAAAGCAGAGGTCAGAACCAGCAATTTGTTTCACTCCTGCAATTCTGGAATGGATCCTGCCTGCTAAGAGACAAAACTCAGCACCATCAGCTCTCTTCCTGAGGACAATGGAGAGACACAGGCATCATGTGGCACTCAGATAAGGACATGCTATAGTAACCAACAGAGTCTGGCTGCGAGCTCTGCAAAACCCATTTCTGATAGCTGCCCACTTTAGGGTATGCCAAAACCTGTACCATCTTCTCCTAATGTCCTCCCCCACACATGGTGTCTGCACAGTTAGCATGAGGCTTTCGTAGATGGGTTTTCTATTTGGACAGCAGATTGTGGAGCTGAATCGGGTCACTGGCATTTCATTAGCAGTGAAGTTTAGAGGCTCCACAGACTCTAAAGCACCAGGAATTTTCTGTTATGAAACATTCCTCAGAGACCAATTGCCAGAAGTGCTGACTGAAGAGCTGATTTCAAGCGCAAGTTTAATTGGGCAGAGTAGTTTCTCGATATGGGAAGAACACAGTACTTTGTTTAGAAAAATCCCATCAGTCAGTTGGGTTTTAAGCTTTAAACAAAGATACAACATCCCCAGCACAAAAGCAAACCCCACAGCTCTGAAGAGTTCTAAAATAAGCACTTCACTTGAGCCCTTCTGCCAAACGAACACGCCTTTGATCACACAGCGTCTCCTTACTCCCTGTGATGAAGACGGATAATGGTGCAAGGGGAAAGGGTCATGTTTCTTCTTTAAGATGCCCAATTTCACTTTTATCTAATCAGACTGACAGTTTGTAACTTTAAAGAAAACCGAAAAATAAAAGAAGAAAGAAATGCCACTGCAATCAAGAGGCAGGTATGGGGACACAGAAAGTCTAACCACCAGCGTCACATCTCATCCAAGGCCACAGACAGAATAAGCCTGTGGACGAATCCTAGTGATGTTAAACGCACTCAGGTGCAGGCTGTGAATCCTCAGAACCACGAGCTTTGGGGTACAGTGAGTTCTCAGCCTAGACCGAAGAATTCTCCTGTGCACGAGGTGCAGCTCTCTCAAGATCCCTCGCAGTTCTCTCAGAGTGCCTGTTTGGTTTCATTTGTTCATTTTAAGAACAGACTCAGTTTTAACCTGTCGCTGTAGTGAATAAACTGAACTTCGATCCCCAACGTCAGTCATTATACCCTATCACGAAGCAAAAGCATCCCCCAAGCAGCCAAGCAGGAGAGGGTACCTTTTCCGACACATATCCAGCAGGAACACGTTGAGCCCTGTCTCCTTCTCCTGCATGAGCCGCAGGATGCTCTGCACGCACAGGCAGTTGGCCGCGCGGTAGGGGCTCGGAGCGTCGATGGGCACCATGAAGCTGTTGCCGTAGTTCTCGTAGCCATGGCCAGCATAGTACAACAGACCTGAGGGCAAACACATGTGGCTGAGCACATCCAAACACTTCCAAGGTCTGAGCCTGGCCAAACCTCCATGCACACGTGTATCTGCGGGACAAGAAGGTCGTTGGAGCCGCCCCAAGCTGGTTTGTAATAGCAACACGCTTCTGTTAACACAGGAAGGGAGGGGAGGGACATCAACTCCACGATGCACGGACACAACATTAGAAAACCACAGTCACGCATGCAATAGGATCAACCAGATATCTGCATCAAACACTCTCACAATGCCTTAGGTAGTTAGGACCTCTAACAGAAATGATCTGTTATGTGTAACTCACAGAAAGGAACAAGGAAATATGCCAACTGTAAAACATCTTTTCCACATGTGCAATTACAAACCTCTGAGCAGCAGTAAGTCTGCAGATTTTATAGGCAGAAAGAAAAGTGCTGAAGAGTTTGGTAGGACTCCAGAGCACATTCCCATTGCCAGACTACCAATGGCTCGTGTTCACTGCAGCTACGTCTCCTACAGAGTCACAACTCTTCTGGGTCTACTAAACAAGCAAATCCTTTGCACACTTACCCAGCCAGAAAAGATTATCCTGCTATCATCTCCCTCACGTGTCAGTACACAGCAGCCTCAGTCAGTGGCAAGTTACATGCTTAAGGGCACACGGTGTAAAGTGGCTGATTCAAAACCTAAACAAATCAAGGTGCTAGTGGGCTGTTCCGAGATTCCAGTGGTCACCTGAGACTGGGTAGTTTCAAGAGAGGTAAAAACATTGTGAATTGCAACTGCATGAGCTTGTGTCAGGTCCTAAGGTAAAAGGAAACTCTTAATGTGATTTCCAGAGTTTGCACCTGGACCTCAATCAAGGCAATATTTGAGATTATATCTATCTGAGTGTATGTTCCGTACGGAATCGGACTGACAGACTACAGTTCTTTTCCATCCCTGGCAGATGACTGTGGTATGCTATGCCTGTGTGATGAATACCTGCAGCAGTTCATGTGTTGAGCTCAAGATCAGAAATAAATCTGTGCGTTCCCAGGGTGAGCGGAGTAAACATGTTTGGAGAGTCTCAACAGAGACGTTGACACAACAATTTTAAGTTGGCTCAGGTTCCTGAGAGACGTCAGCATTTAAGTACTATCTGCCTCTCTGTCTCTCTCTCTCTCACCCCCTGCCCCACCACTCCCTCTCTTTGAAAAGGAAAGCAGCCTGAGTATTTTTAGCCTCTAAAACAGACAGGTCTGTGCTTTTACCCTTTGTGGAATACAAAATTCATTGCAGCCTACATTTAGAACAGCACAGAGTAGGACATCAGAGGAGACAATCATCATCACTTTGTTTACTGCTCCTGCCCTTAAGGACCAGTCTCTGAAATGCCAGTTTCCTGGCACTAAGCCAGAATTACACAACCTCTTAGGCATCAGGAGTATATGTAACAGCAGTAGACACTATGCCCACTAGAAATGCAATAAATCATTACCTATTTGTGCACTGACAGCATCTCTTACAGGCTCTAAGCCGTTAACAGCCACTATGCAGAAAGAACAAAGTGACCATTTCAATTGAAGCAGTTACACCCAAATACCACTGAAAAACTGCTCTGCTTACCTTTCCTATCCACTGGCTGGCGAAGTACAAGTGCAGAAGTATGCTGAATAAGAGCTTTCATATGGTGCTGCTGAGAAACTCGTTAAAGCCTTCCAGCACTTTGTTTTCTAAATGCATGCCAACAATTACAGAACAAAACCGAGAAGGTGCAAGAATCCCAAAGCTCACCCAAATATACAAGCACATCTATTTCGCAGGGGTGAAAAAAGCAAACTGCTCTCACAAAGCCTAAATGCTCCTGGCCAGGCTGAGGCTTCATGTCAGGCAGGTTTTGGCTCAGACTTACATGCCCAAATGTCAGAGCGGCCAGTTCTGCACAGACAGCATCGGGTAACACACCGGTACAAAAAGTCATGCTAAGGAATAATCTGACCTCGTGTTCCAAAAAAAGGATCCAATAATGTTTTCTCCGTTGTGCTTTACTGCAGGAACTCTGCAATTTAAATAGGGGAACTGGCCCAATGTTTTTTCCTCTGCTCTAAATAATTTCTGCTGTTGTTTGTACACTCTTAGCTTTCAGCAAAATGACAGAAACACTGGCAGTGAGCTGAAAACTCAAAGCCCACGGAAGAACTTTTCTTACACTCCAAACCAGGTCATTCTCGGCCTTGCCCATGCAAGACATCAAGGTGTTTGCTCTGTGCATCAGTTCCACCATGCCCTGCCCCAGTTCTGCCTCATGCTTTGTCCCTCGAAACCACATCCAGGCAAACAGACACATCAGCATTATCAAACAAAAGTGTGCACTGTGGTTTTGGGAGACACCATAACATGTTAGCCACAGTCGAGAGAGATGCTCCTGAGTGCTTTTAACTTTTCCCATGCTACATACATGCTATTGACCATGAAGTTTGTTTGGCCATCACATGTCGTGAGCTGGCAGAGGCAAATACCAGATCCTGGTGTACTTGATACATACAAAACTGCCCTACTTCAGAAGGGATATTGGGTGTTCTTACCATATACTCCTTTGTCCAGGAGAAGTAAAAATTCATCCACCGCGTTTCGCATCTCAGGCTCGGTAAGATCCAGCAAAGAAACAACTTTGAAGTCCAGCTGCCTCAGCAAACTGGTCAGCTCGTAGACATCTACCATGGGAGCCTTGAGCTGGGGGTGGTTCCAGTAGCTCATGTTGCCTATTAACAGAGCCACCTTGTCTGTGGCTGCCACGACACAGGAAGGAAAAGACACATCACGGTTATATATTCCGTGGGTTCAATGCCTTTACATTTAACATCTTCCAAAGGACAAAAGTTCAACCAGTCTCACTCCAGGCACAGTATTTTATGTGATTTTAAAGTCATCCCACATGAACAATACAGCTCAACTCTCTTCTCATCCCCCCCCAAAACATATCGGCACGAGTGGCGAGCACTTAGGCTCCTCCTCACACTGATGAACCCCAGAGTGGTGACATTCTGACAGAGGCCAGCAGCCTTCCCGCCGGGTTTAGCATCGACAGGACAACATGCCTGACCACAGACAAGTCCACTGTGCAAATTTAAGAACGGGATTAAAACCCCCCAGCAATTATTCTTCATAGGACACGTGCTCTCCATCCCTTTGTGTGCTCCAGGTCAGCTGCAAAGCACCCACAGGATGGGCACAGGGAGAGCTGAGCTGGCAGGCACAGCATTCCCCTAGCACACAGCCTACCAATCCTTTCTGTCACATCATCCCATTACCACTGTCTCCGACCGTCCAACTGTTCAAAGTCATGGAGTAAGACACTGGCCAAGGTCTGGCCAGAGGCATCTGGATCAGTCAACTGCAACAGATGAGACGTTGCAGACTCTCCTCAGAGTCACTAAAAATGCTGGTGCCCTCAGCACAGGTTACTCCTGAAGGGGCAGGCAGTCATTGCAAAGAACTACGAAAATGCACACAGGTCTCCCTCTTCCTGCAGCTCTGTGCCTGCACCACAGTGCTTGCACTGGCAGGGTCAGGAGCAGCAAAATCTGTTTCCTGGATGTGCAATACACCTGGTCACTACAGCTGCAAAACTACTTACCCACAGGCCCGGGACTTGACTGTCCTGGTGGGTCTGCTTGAAACAGAAGAAGAGAGCAGAGTGTCAGTGACTACAGTCAGAGCTGCAGTGGCAGAAAATGAACATTCCCCACAGCCACAGCACAGGCACTGCTTTGTCCAACACCTCACTACTTTAACACAAAAAAAGTGCTCTCCTTGGTTTTGGTGAGGGTTCGGGGTGTTTTGTGAACGTTGTTGTTTACCTGACTTCCTTTACCCTCTTCCAGCAAACACAGACTAACAGGATATGAACAGCCAGTTCCACAAATTAAGACCTAACAGATGCTTACAGTGTAATTCTAAATCTCATAAACTGCACTTTGGGATTTGCAGTGACATTTGAACAGTTCATCCTCTCCAAAGGAAATGCAGGCATGCAAGGTGGGGGATGCTTTGCAGGGATGACCATCTGCACGTGAAAATTCTTTTATGGTGTACTTCACAGAGGGATGGCAGAGCCAATGCTGTGCCAAGAGGAACAGACAATCAGTATGCCCAAGTGGCACACCTGGGCAACACCACACATCGTGTCAGGACCACTTCAGGGATCGAAACTGAGCCTTGGGAAGGAAACATGTATTTGATGTCTAACCCAGGAAACTATATGATCTGTGTGATTTGAGATTCTGGGAACACTGTATCGGGGTAATCCCTTATGGAGCAACACTCTGGATCTACACTTGTGTTATACACTTCTAACAGGCTTTAAATCACACTGGCTGACTCCAGCTGAGAGTCCAAAGAAAGCACAGGAAAGAAAGCAAAGATAATTCCCTCTGTATCTGTGTAAGGACACATGTGGTCTAGAAGATCAGCTTTGAGTCATTTTACAAAGATAACAGCATCCCTATGAGTCACTGTACGCTCCAAGTTAATCTTTTGGAACCAGAAAGCTGTGCGGCTCACAACATGATACCTGCCCCTATCCCAGTGTTAAATACATCCAAACACTCTAAGGTATATACTGTAAGCCAGCTAGGCTTCAGTGACTTGTGACACCAAACGGAGATGCAAAATTAAAGTCTGTCAAAACTCATCACTTACCTGATTCTTGAAGATCACTTAGATCTTCTGTGAAGAAACACACCGATAAAACCAAGTTTAAACAAGAAGCAAAATTTTTATTAGTAAAATTTTAAGCGTCATGCCATTATTAATCAAAGCTGAACAAAGACAACAAACTACCTTTCTAAAGTACTTCTGGCTTTGCATTTCAGCAAACCTAACCTTCAGTGTTCATTCCACACAAAGCAGCAACATATTAAGCTGTGCTAGGCACGGCATTACAGTCTAGCAGACCTCAGGACAAAGGGGTGAACACTCACTGTGCCTCAATCCCACAGGCATGCAAGCAGCTTGAAGGAGTAAGGAACAAGGTATCACAATCACACATTTGAAGAATAGAGGTTCGATGGCCTGCTGAATCCTGAGCAAGAAATCTTACTTGGGAAAGCCATGTGTTCTCAGAAAGACTTGGGACACAATTGTCAAGCATCCTAAACGACCATGGAGGTCACCTATCTATTCTGAGAACACTGGAAGCTAGGGAGGACAAGTAAGGTCTGGAAGCAGTGGTGCCTCAGAGCAGGCCTGCTGTAAGCAGCCTCAGGGCAAGATCCTCTGTGGTGTGAACGTCAGAGGCCTTGAGGCGCTCAGGAACTGAGGGATGGTACCAACATTAAGGGTTGCAGTGCATTTCTTCCTCCCCGGGGAAGCTACGCAAAAAAATCATCCTAACGGGGCTGCTGGAAACTCCTCTTGTGGACAGAGCTAACACTGGAACTGGCTCGACCCAGCTCTCTAAGGTCACCCAGGTTCCTAAACACCTGCAGATTTTCTTGCTAGGATGTTGCCTCCTAAGCCCAGCCGAAGAAGTCTCCAGACCTTTGCATTCATTTGAATACTACAGGAGAAGAAAGCAGCCTGGTTTTTCTCCTCTGTTCTCTAGGTCATGGTATCAGGCAAAGAGGAGAGAAGCACATGCAGAAGAAACGTTGCATCATGCATCAATGTTTTAAAACAGACTGAAGCTCTTAACCCACGCATGCTTTTCAGCAACACGCTCAGCAACTCCTCGTCCCCAGCACCGACTATTAAAAATGGACGCATGCTTTTCAGCAACACGCTCAGCAATTCCTCGTCCCCGGCACCGACTGTTAAAAATGGATTCACAACTAAGGGTTTACTTTACCTTCTGTGCACTCCACTGCCATAGCTTTCCTTCCTGGTGGTTTAAGGAGGGGAAAAAATGGGAAGACAAGTGTTCTCAGTTATAAGACTTCGCACACAAGGTGGGAGACAAAGGTCCCCGTCAAGATGCTCTGCAGTCTGGCTCGTTTTACAGCAGTGTGAATCTGCAGTGACCACAGCACTGTACAGTCATTAGTACTGAAACTCAGCAGTACTAAACTAGGGTATTTCTTAGGTTAGGAAAAAACTTTTCTTATGAATTACACAACAGCATTCCCAGATAGACCTGGAAGCTGTACAAACAGATCTGCTCCTCTTCAGTTCACTGCAAACACAGGCACACGTGTTCCGTCCATTCATTCTGCCCGCAGTGATCAATCTCGCCTGCCCTGACTGCCGAGGGACTCAGTGTAATGCAGTTCACGTCACCAGCAAGGGCTAAACTGGTTTTCAGTGGTCAGAAAACCATAAATCAGCCTGCAGTCTGCTGACAAGCCACGTACATGCTGGCAGTGCCAAAAAGTGGGAGCACTTCTGTGCTGGCTACTGTGAAAACCCCAAAGCCCTAAAATTCCATTTGCTGGAAGTAAGCACGGGTGTTTTAATAAATGGAGAAACTGAAAATACAGAAGCAATGTGCTTGGCTTAATATTGAAATCTTAAAAAATAACTGTTAATGATGGGAAGAAATGCCTCAACTAGCTGACCTGTATCAAACAGAAAAACTCCTCACCTATAACGACCTGTATTTTCTTGCTGTCTTCAACCTCCCGGTCGTTGGACACGTGGCACCAGTATGTCCCTTGATGTTCCACATCCACGTAAGACACCTGTGCAAACATCATCACAGTCATCCCCCAGACCCCAAAACAATACCTGTACCAGGTATTTAAGCCTTGCATTTAAGTCCACATGCCAGAAAGAGCAAAATCTAAAAGAACTTGGAGCAATCCCTTCCATCAGAGGTTATCAAGGCTGTGGGGAAGTTATTTTCTTCAAGGAAGCTTCCTGTGCTAAGTGCAAGGTGGTCACACATTAGCCCCCAAGGTGGCCCGTGGCAGTTACTTACTGTGTAGACATTTTTGCTCCCATTTGCCAGGGGAAGTCCATTTCTGAACCACTGGTAGTGAGGAATTGGGTTTCCAACAGCTCCGCATTCCAGTACCAAAGCATCCCCCACCGTGAGGTTTTGTGGCTGAGGCTGAATACAAATGCACAGCTTGTTCTCAGGCAAACCAATGAAGCTTGCTTAAAACAAAAGGGAAGAAAAAAAGAAAAGAAAGGGTGAGACAATCGAAGCACAGCCACAGGGACCCAAGTTCCTGTGGGCAGCGGGAAGAAGACTTTCAGAAGACAAGGCTTTGCCACCCACCATGAGGTGTTCCCTGGAGCTCACAGACCTCAAGCCGTGCCCAGCGACTGAACACAAAAGAAGATTCACTGTTCACTCGACAGATGTAAAATCCAGAATCCTTTACACTCACTGGATTCAAAACCAGTTCCGGAGAATTACCATGGGGAACCTGAATCACAGGTGAACCAACAATACTGACATTTAGATTGGTTCAATGTACACCAGGGTCCAACATTACAGTATCTATGTCCATGTCCGTAACACCGGCCTCAACTCCTTCACTTGAAACTTAGTGGTAGGCTGAGAGACAGCTAAACTTAGAGCTTCCTTTCTGTCTCACCCCAAAACTGGCCCCCAGGGATGAGTGGTCTGAATATAAGGAATCACTGTACTGGTTTAGCACATTCATAGGGTCACTATCCAGCACTGCTTAGACTTCTGGGTTTAGGAGCATACATAGCAATCTTCTCTCATTGCAAATACTAGTCTTAAAAAGGAAAGAGTCTCATCCAAAGTCATGACCTGTTACTTTCACTATTACGAGACCTGCATTCGCTACCAGCTATTACCTCTTCTTCCTGCTTGAACCACTGGTAGTGCACAAATGGGTGTCCTGTTGCCCAACAGCACAGTTTGACCACCTGGCCGGAGAGCACTGCCTGGGAGTCTGGCTGCACAACCACCTTTAGACCTTTAAACAGAATTTACATACAGGAAAGTTAGGCAGAAATACAAGTCCACGATGTATATTTGCATTTAAATTGTCCTTTGAGCAGAGAAAATTCCTGTCATCGAATATACCTGAAAATAATTGGTTTGTACTGTGTATGCACACAGTTCCTCTTAGTTCTGTGACTTTATGCCACGCAAAATTGTCTTCCACCACAAAAAATCCACACTCAAATTGATCAGCACTCTACGCATTTCATTGAAGGTTTAATGTAGATCATTCAGACATTTTAATTTTAGGGTCAGTCTCGCTATAGTAAGTAATACTTCCCACGGTATCACAGAACCCTCCTGGGAAAGATATTCCCAGCGTTAAGGGTTTGCCTACTCCCAACAATTTCTTTGAGCCATTCATCTTCAGGTTAAGATTAGGCACAGCCTCAGGGGTGGATCGAAGCAGGAAGAGTTTAAGGACAACACATTGCATTTTCCTGCTATTCCTCACGCACCCTTGCGAGCTGAATCCTTGGTTCCAGGTTACTTCTCCTACTCCTGCAGAACACGGGGCCGGGACTTCCTTCTGACAACAGGCAAGGTTTTAACGGCCAGGAAACAGCAGGAGAGAAACTCTGACACTGGTCTGATCCGATCCAATTATTTTCTTAACCTAGACCACTCCAGATCTCGTTACAGCATGAGCCCAGGAACAGATCTACTGCCGTAACCAAGGTCATTAGAAGAAGGCAGCGGGGGGGAAGTCAACTGCAGAACACACTTTAAAAATCATTCAAGTATTACTTGCTATGAATGGTACAACTAGAGCAGAACCCACGTGGGCAACAGCCTGACACAGAGAGCAGACGGCACTTGGAAGTCATATAACCCTGCCTAGCAGGGAAGTGGGCTCTGTTAACTGCCTCTGCACACAAGCTACAGAACATGAAAATCCCCTGCCTTCCTTTCTCTAAAATCCCTTCCCTCTACACCCTAGCACTAGATCACGACCTCAGCTCCTCATTTAACACTTCCTGCACTGTTTTCCACAGTCAAGGCGAGTGTGGTAAGAACAGTTTTCGAGCATCACAATCCTCTAACATTAACAAGCCGGAATGGCATTGTTTCAGTCTAAAGGGCAGAAGAAGACTTGCTCTTTCCAAAGACTTCCACTTTAATTGCAAAACACCTCTCCTGATTTGCATCACCAACAGCTCTTAAGAAAGTAGGTCAGAAAAGCCAAATTCACTGGAAGATCAGTGTTTTGCACTCCTCAGAAGCATCACAAACCAGTTCTGAGAAATCTGATTCATAACTTCTTCAGCTTCACTTGTTTTCCTGCAGTTCATTCAGCACTACACAGCTACTTCCTGTGAGCATCACAGAATTTAATGGCTCGAAAAAGAAAACCTCCTACCTCCATCTTTGGAATGGCTGCAAAGACACACAAATACTTGGAAAATGCTAGACCTAAGTTTTGCCTCTGGGGATGGCAAAGTGACATTTGTGGTTACCAGACTCGAAAAGACACCGTGCAAGTTCAGTGCTCAAAACCTGACCTATAACCTGACTCTTAGGTCCTCAGCTCACACACTGGAGACACTTTGACTCTGCAGCAGCAGCCTTAACTCCATGGAATGGCTGCAATATACTTGAAAAATTCCACCAAGCTGAATGTGTTAGTAGAAAATAGTCTGGTTCTATCTAAGGTTAGTTTATCTGTTCCATTAGCAAATCGGACCAAATCTAGTAGGTGCCAGAACTGGCACTAACTGGACCCTTCCCCTGCAGCTGGGGTAAGTGGGAAACGCCGCGAATGACACCTGTAGCCCCACAGCTGGCTGGCACCACTGCCTGACACAACCAGCTCAGTTCCATGGGCATCTCCCAGAGGCACAGTGTGGCACCAAACCCCAGGCAGCAGAGGGAATGACAGCACCTGTCATATCCATGCAGCCAAGTCCTCAACAGTACTGCATGACGTCTGCTTATTTACTGGCTCACTTTTAATCTCAGAATCAGGTGAGCCCATTACCCTGGTAGTCATATGGATACCAAGCACCAGAATTCAAGCACTAAAGATGTTTTCACCTGCTGTAGAAAGCAAACAATTGAGCGTTTGTGGGGCAAAACCCAGAGCTGCGATGGAAGCACGGCCCAAAACTGACCTGGATGGCTGAGACACCGGAGAGCCTCTGTGTGCTCCAGGGCCTGCAAGGACTCTGCAAGCTCCACCACGGTGCAGCCACGATCTCCCAGCAGCTTCAGGAGGCTCCAGCTGGGACTGCCTTCTGGCTCCAGCACTTGGAGGGAGCACTGCTCCAAATCCAGAGGGCTGTGGAATAATGGAGAAAGACATAGCACAAAGCTTCTTCACGCTTCTTCCTCAGGAAGGACCTGGGCTAACAGTCACTTGTAGACAAAAAAAACCAACAACCACTTTCAAAAATAGAGATGGAAAATTCCCAGGCCTTTTGACCATTTCCTTCAAGTTTCAGGAGTTCGGAGGTTATACAGTGATGCCTCCACAGGCAGAAACTGGCAGTAGTGCATTGCATACTAGAAAATAAGAGATCTGTGTACCTCACAATTCTGACCAAATGTGTTAAGAGACCTGCCAATTTCCACTTTTTAAAGTCTCAGCAGAAAAACTAGCACAGCGCCTTTCATTTCCACGGCCCTCATCCAGAGGCGATAAGGAGCGCGTCAGACTCTAGCTTCAAAGCGCAGGAAGACCTCGGTTTTAGAACAGTTTGTTCCAACAAGTGGCTGCAGCGGCTCGACCCATCACGCTGCTGCTGCTGCTGCTGCTGCAGCACAGTCCCTTCACCGCTCCCGAGCTTCGCCTCCAGCGATAAACCCACAGCTCTGAACTGGTGTCGTCTGCACGCACTTTGAATCACGGCAGAGCCAGCCGGCACAGAAAATAAGGAAACAAAGACAGGAAGGGAAAGGGACGGCAAGCCGACACATTCCCACTCGAAGGATTCCTCAGCGGGCCTTTCTTTCAGTGCCAGCGCCACGCAGACCTGGCGGCGAGGCATTCCGGCCTGCCGAGGGGACCTGCACGGGGTGTTTTTGTGGCCAGCACAGACACACAGGCCGCGGCTCCCCGCGCTCCCCCGAGCCGAACCGCGCCGC